CCACTCTGGGTCTTAGTGGCTGTGCTCCTCACTCCCTCTCCCCCATTAATATCCTCCATTTAAAAGATGAGCAACCTGAATAAATAAATATAAATTTGCCCAAGATGAGCTAGAAATGACAGTGCCGGAACTTGAACTTGTTTGGTCTTGAGTTTATGTTCCAAGTTACCATTTATTTGCTGCCCTGAATGTCCACCCCTCGAGCCCCATGGGGAGGTATCAAGGGTTATAATGAGTATGATGGGTTAATGGATGTTGGGATTGTCTCAGCAGTCTGCCTCTGTGTGCACCCTTGTCACTGGATGCCCACTGCCATGTCACAAGGCTGACAAGCAGCCCCTCCAGGGGCTGAGCACCTGCTGCTCCATGCTGTGGGACATCCCAACCTCCAGAATTCTGAGCCACATTTCTTTTCTTTACACCTAAGCTCGTCACAGCATCAGAAAAGAGCCAGATACCATGTGCTTACAATTGCTGTCGCTATCGTGTAGGGGTGAAGGAAGCTAGCCTTCAGGCTTTTGAGTCAGCTCTAGTTTTTATTTATCGCACATCCAAACAGCCAGGAGCTTTGGTGGCTGGAATGTCCTACATTGTGCATACTGCTCCCAGACTGGACAGAAGCTTCCTGAAGAAGAGACCATGCTGACTTGTCCCAGGGCAGCCCCAAGCTCAGCTGCGTGGCAGGCAGCAGGAAAATAGTAACCTTGGGTTTCTTAACTGTTGAATAGTCTTTTGTGATCTTGGATACATGTAACACAGGAAAACTTAAAAACATCCTCCAGCAGTGTGCTTTCCTCTTAAATAGTGAGCAGGTGGAGAATACCAAAGGCATCATTTTGGTCCCAACTGTTCACATGGTTGTTACCTTGCACTTCTTTTCAAATGTAAATACTGAGTTTGTGTGAAATGTATGTATTAGTTGGGGCAGTTCTGGTAGTTTAACATATAACCCTCTAAATTAGCAATGCAAGTTTCTGCCTGTGCCAGCCCAGTGTCCTGGCCAGGGTGGTTTTACTCCTCAAGGCAGGTAGCTGTAGAGTCCCGTGTTTCCTCAGCGCCTGGCTTCCCCATCCCCTGGGGGTCTTGGGGTTCTTTGTTTCTGACTTGGCAAAGTGGGAAAGGCTTTTTAAACACCCTGGCAGGGAAGCAACAAGGGTCACAGATGCGTGTGTGCTGCTAGAATTAGTTGCAAGGGAGGCTGGGACGTAAGCTCCCGGCCGAGCACCTGCACTCACTTGCAGCTTTGCCACAGGCAATTCAGTCTCTTGGAAATTCAAGTTTTGGCAGTGAAATGGGACTCCAGCATCCACCTTGCAGCTTTATGAACATTAGGGGGAATATATTATATGTACGTGTATATATATATGATAACTGGTACTACTGCTTTCTGAACAGATTTCTTGTGAAAGTGAGTGGATCTTTTTATGTGAAAAATACAAAGCATAATAAAGGAACGTATAAATTAAGACAGAGGATAACAAGATGTTAGGCTTCCACGTGCAGATGTTCCAGCATTTGTCCTGGATCAGCATGAAATCAGAGTCTAATTAAGCAGCAGGATTAAACTTTTTGCTATTGCTCAGAATTCTAATAGGAGACATGGAAGAAGAAGAGCAAATATATAATCTTAAAAGCCACATATTTGTTTGGTGAATCTCTCTCTTTTAAAGACTTATTTTACTTCAGAGTCGAGAAGGAGAAACAGATTCCCCATCTGCTGGTTCACATTCAGTCCAATGGTCAGAGCTGGGCTGGTCCAAAGCTGGGAGCCAGCAGCTTCTCCTGGGCCACTCATGTGGGGGCAGGGGCCCAAGGACGGGCTATCCTCTGCTGCTTTCCAGGCCATTAGCAGGGAGCTGGACGGGAAGTGGAGCAGCTGGGACACACACCAGCGTCCATATGGGATGGTGGCGCTAGTAGGCTGAGGATCAGTGTGCTACACTTCTGTGCTGGTCCCTAAGTGTGTGTGTGTGTGTGTGTGTGTGTGTGTGTGCGCCCCTTCTGTATATATACATACAAATGTGTGTATACACATTTCAATCCTCACCAGAACTGCGAAATATATTGTTGCCATCACCACTTACAGATGAGGGAACCGAAGCTTAGGGGAGGAAACACTTATCCAAAAATGGTTACAGCAGTGGTGGCACCAGGCTGTGGACCGGGAGGCTCTGACTCTTCCTCCGGGAATCTGGCTGTTGTTGGAGGAAACGCTTCGCGCACGTGCAACACACCTGTGCGTGGTGTTTGATAACGCTGCGCTGTGATGTGGGCCACACTAAATGCCGTAGGAATCCAGCCCGGGGAGGAGCTCCCAGGGCCTGACTGTGTGCCAGACCCTGCGCCGGACGGACGTCTCCCAGGCTAACCATTTAAGGACAGGTGGAGGGGGAAGAGCAGGCGCTTTGGGACTGGGCAGGCAGGGTTTCAATCCAGGTGCTTCTGTTTACCAGCTGGGTCATCTCAGGCAAATTACCCAATCTTGTTGGAGAGGACCTTCTCAATTCAAAGAGGGATACCAGCAGGTACCTACCTGCCAGGGGGTTACTGTTCTCCCATTAGCCCACAGCAGGTGAAGTCCCCTGGCCTGGGAAGTGACACTGTCAGTCAGGATGACGTAGGGTACTCATGCAGGCTGCTCTAACCAACATCACCCCGCATCTCACTGGTTTAATCCACAAACCAGCTTACTAGTCACTCAGTCGACTTTCCCAGTGTACGTGGGTTGTGACACTTCTGGAATCCTCCCATGGAGACCCGCGTTGGCCTGGGGAGGTTCTGACTTCTGTCCCCTCCCATGATGGTCAAATCACGGAGAAGGAAGACCTGGCCATTTGCCCACTCTCCCTTAATTTACCCACACACAAGCAGCGCGTCACTTCTGCTCTCGTCCCATTGGCCAAAGCCAGTCCTGTGGTCATGCGCATGGCCGGGAGGATTTCCCCCCACCAGCCCAGCGAAAGGAAAGGCCCAAAAGTCCTTGAAGAGTTTCAATGACCACTGCATACTGTTTACCTGCCTGACTCATCCCCCAATCCACAGCTTTAGAAGGGGAAACCCAAGCTTGGAGAGATCAGGTCATTTGACCTGGCTTCACTGGGAAGCCAGCACTCAAGGGTTGTGGGCCTCACTCCCACACGTGTCTGCAGAAGGGGCACAAAGCAGCGGGGGTGTTGGGAGGAGGGCTGGGGGACACTGCCAGTGGGGTGGCCTGGAGAGGTGTGAAGACTCACACACGCTTTATCACCGGAAGGCTCCTGGGGCACCAGGAAGGGAGTTTATCTCCAGCGTCAGTGCAGGGAAAAGAAAATGGAAAGGGAGTAACGCAGGGGAGGGCAGGGCCGCGGCCAGGAGGCTGGTGTGGAGAGCCAGGGGCCCAGTCGCCATCAGCAACAGCAGGGAACGGGCTTCAGGAATGGTACCAGGGAAGGCAGCAAGAACTACAGAGAAAACTATGCCCAGGAAACAGATCCGTGGGCCCGCGGCAGCCTAAGCAGCACAGCATACACAGTCTCCCTGGTCCAAGCTGACACCTTGTGTCCCTAACAAGCAATCTCCCCTGGGCTTTTTTCCTTGTCATTTAGCCTGGGCGTCCCTGCAGGGGAGTGGGGGTGGGGGAACCCTCAGCGTGAGGGGTCCTTCCCGCCTCACCCGCTCCCGAATGCCCGGGCCCTGCTGCAGACCTGGGTGTGGGTGGTGCCTGCCTGGCCCACCTCGGATGGCGGTCTCCGCGGGCAGCGTGGGCGCCTTGGCATGGCCCGGCGCGGTCCTGGTACCTCCGGTACCCCATCTCTGCCAAGTCCCCCTGCTCCTCCTCCCCTCGCAGGCGATGCCCCCACCGGGGTCCCGTGTGGTGTTGGAAGGCCAGGCGGCGGCCCGCTCCTCCCTCCACCCCGCCAGGGCTCAGCATTCCGAGGGCTGGGGGATGGGGGGTGGCGGTGTCGCCTCGCAGCCGCCCCCGGGGCGCGCAGCTAGGCCCCGCCGCGGGAGCGCGGCCGTGACTCACCGCTGTAACCCGACACCGCCCCGCCGCCCTTCCCCCATCCCCGCAGCTCCGGCCTGGCCGCCGCCGTCACCACCACTACCACCATACCATCACCACCGACCAGAAAATGAACCGGCGCCCGAGCCCGCGGCGCCCCGGCTCGGATCGCCAACGGACCCCGGCAGCGCCCGGCTCGCTGCGCGCTCGCTCTCCGGAGCCCGGAGCCCCACGAGCCGCAGCCTCCACCTGGGCGCGAGCAGGAACCGAGGCCGAGCGGCCCGAGGCGGACGCGGCGGTGGGAGGCCGGCGGTAGCTGCGGCCGCGAGCCCCGGGGAGCGCTGCGCCGGGCCGGGCTGGGCCGCCAGCCTTTCCCCCGCCTCGCCCTGCGCCCTTCCCCCGGCGGCGGAGCGAGGACAAAGCCCCCCGGCCGTCCCCTGCGCGGGCCTACGCCGCGCCGCACAAAGGGCGGGTGGCGACCCCGCAGCCAGCGCCCTCTGGGCTCCGGGTGGCCCCGGGCGGCGACGGTGGCGAGGGAAGCCCGGCGTCCGCGCCCGCAGCCCCCCGGCCCGCTCCCCTCCCCGGGGACCGCGAGCACCGCCCGGCCCGCCCCCCGGCCGTCTGCGCGCCCTGCCGGGGGAGGGGCTGGGGGCGCGGCGCCCCACAAAACACTCCCCCTCGGGCGCTCGGAGCCACCCCTCGGTCGGCCGGCCGCCCTCGCCGCTGCAAACACCAGCGCCGCCGCCACCGCCACCTCGCCCGACGCTCCGCACAGCTCGCCGCGGCCGGGGGGCGGGGGCCGGCGCGCCGACCGTGCGCGCCCGGGGTGCCAGATGTGCACTTCCCGCGGCCGCCCGTGACCGAGCCGCTCCCCTCATGCGGCGGGGGCGACCTTAAAAGCGCACCCCGGCTTTCTCCCCATCCCCCGTCGCCTTGCCTGGAATCCCCGGCACCCCGAGCGCTGTGCCCGGGTCCCTGCCTTCTCCAGCCCGGCTCCTCGTCCCCATCATCTTTGGACATGGAAGGGGCCGCTGCGCCCTCGGCAGGGGACAGCCCCGACCCGAGGCTGGGGGCGCCGGGCTCTCCCCCGGCGGCGGCTCCGGAGCCCAGGAAGCCGCACGGGGTGAAGCGCCATCACCACAAGCACAACTTGAAGCACCGCTACGAGCTGCAGGAGACCCTGGGTAAAGGCACCTACGGCAAAGTCAAGCGGGCCACCGAGAGGTTCTCGGGCCGCGTGGTGAGTTGCGGGCTGCCGGGGGAGCTCCGGCTGGCCCTGCGAGGCGGTGTGCACGGCGGGACCGAGCGGGGGGCTTCCTCGGGACCCCTCCCCGCCTTTCCCAGCCAGACGGCTACTTCTCTGCCCGCAGCGCCCCGTGACTCAGGCATGCATCTCTAAACACTTGTTACATCCTGTCTACACATACTTTGGGGCTTTTAATCCCCCCCCCCCTTTTTTATCCCCAGCGGCCAAGCGTTATGTAGGCTTTGCATGCAGTTTCCAACTTTGGGATTGTGAGGTTTGCTCTCCAGACCATGCCTGCAATGCCTTCTACCTCAAAATAATAATAGTAATAACAACAACAACAATAATAGTAATACATTCCTACATGCTCAGTTCGGAGCTGGTCCCTCCAGTCCCCTGTCCTGTCGTTGTCCCCAGATTCCCCTATGAAGCCACACAGAGCGTCTCTGTGCACCCTCGCACCCTGGACGCCCGTCACGCTATGCTGTGGCTGGAAGGAAGGGCGGGCGCCTGCCCGGGTTGTGACAGTTTGCATCGTGGCCGCTGGAAATGCCCAGAGCATGGGGAGCGTCAGATGGACGCTGCGGCAGAGTTCAGGGCTATGCCGGTGCAGGCTGCAGGGCTGCCAAATCGCCTAAGTGGGGCGGCGTGTGTGTGTGTGCGCTCGCACGGGGGTGGGTGGGTGGGGGTGCTTCCTTATCCAGCTGCCCCCAGACGGCTGAAACCCTGGAAGGGTCCCAGCACTATCTGCTGCTGGTGGTGGTGGGGGGTGTCCCTCTGGTCTCTTAACAGCTCTGATGTGTCTCTGTAAGACAGAATCCTGGAACGCACACAGCTGGTGCCTGGGGACTGGGGTTCAAAGGGACTGACTTGCACAAAGATTCCGTGGGGTGTGTGGCCGAACATTAGCGTGGTTCTTTGATTTGAAACAGATCAGGCGGATTTTAATCGATTTCCAGCCAAAGTTACAAACTGGTTAGGAGCCTTCTCCTGTGCGCTTCTGGGGGTGTGGGGGAGTGTTTTGGGGGCCCAGGGTTGCTCATAAACTTAACAAATGACTGTGAGGGTGAGGGAGGAGGTTGGTGGGTGGTGGAAGAAGCAAAATGAGCTGTCAAATGCGGGGTTAGTGTTGGTTTTTCCATTTGCATTTGTAAATGGGTGCCCATCAGCTAAAGCTTAGCACCCTAAATTCTTGCCTGTACCGGGATAAGCTTCTTATTTCTTAGATTCTGGGTTGATATAGTTTTATCACAGAACTTTTAAAGAAAGAAGTCTGTTATTGATTAATTTGATGTTGGAGATGGTGTTTATATATATATATATATACACACATGTATTTTAAGCGTGCCTCTGAAATAATTAACTACCTCACTAGCGAGCAAGTAGCAGGTGCCACTGTGGCGCATGGAATATTCTAAAGAGGAGATGGGCCCTGCGAATGCCCTTTATGAAGCACACTTTCAGGCTGGTAGGAGAAGCCCAGAAAGACATCATCTCATTCATGCTTTTTTTGTTGTTGAAGTGATGCAAACAAAACAAACAAACAAACAAAAAAAAAAACAAAAAACCACCCCCCAAGCTTAGCCCCTTCCTTGCTCCCGTTGTCATGGGAGCTGTTGGAGAATGGTGCTGGGAAGTTGGGAAGCAGCATAATCAAAAGCAGACGCGGCTACAGCTGCAGGTTGAAGATGAGAGCCTGAGAGGGGTGCGGTGAGAAGGGTGTCTGGGGTATCCTGATGCTAAAGGCCGTTTCTCAGACTGCAACCTTGTCTTCAGGGGGACACCCCTCTCTGAGCGTCATTGGAGCTTCCGGCTTTCTGATTTAAACAAGGTTAAGAAGGAAAGGGCCTTGCTTAGTGGGCAGGAGTCTGCCTTTCTCTGCGTGGATGTCTAGCTCTTTATTTGCAGAAATCTGTGAACATTCCAGCCGGATTTAGCCAGACGGCCGCTAGGGGGCGCGCTGAGAACGGTAGAGGCTCAATCTCTCAGCTTCGAGTGGGCTCTATTATTGTCCAGCCCGATTCAGTGTCCCATTGTGCTACTCATTTCAGCTACATCTCGTGTTTTTACCGAGAAATTATGTAAAAAAAAAAAAATTGAAGTTGGAAGCAGATCCAGGCCCAAGATACTGGCAATCGCCGAACTGCTTGGTTTCTTCAGGGGGCTGCTTTCTGTCCTTAAGAGCTACCTCCAGCTCTTCCTTGCATTTTGGGACAGATGAGGAACCCGAGGCTTGGGCTTTGGGGTGTTCCCCTGCCCTGCTGAGTGCATCACTTTCAAGGGCGGTGCAGCGACTTCCTAGAGAAGCAGGCAGGTGCAAAGTATCCTGTGCCTGGCTGAACAGGAGAATGCTCGGAAGCAGACAAAAAGGTTGTCAGTGGATTGTGCTTGCCAGGCAGTGCCTGGTGGCCAAGGATCTGCCCAGGGCTGTGAGAGTTTCCACTGATGGTGTGAAGTTGGAGTTATCTTCTGGGTCCAGCGCTGCACTGAGCATCCGCCCTTGCTCCTAAGGCATAGTCTAATTGAGAGAGTGTCAGCCCTTTTGACCCTGGGGAGAATTTGCCAGCCGTCTTGGTGTGTTCATTCAGATGATCAGAGCAGCTGGTGGTGGGCTGCGGGGATCCGGCTGCTTGGGATGCTGGGAATCGGCATCCCTGTGGCAAGCAGCGGCCCTGCTCACAAGAGAAGTGTGTATATGTGTTTTAAGTCTGAGAATGGTGTGGCTTGTAATTGCACATCTGGAAGGGCCTTGTGAATACAACATGCCACAGCAGCATCTTCAGCGTGCTGTGCAAGGCCCTGTGGAGGCCAGTTTGCCAAGTAGGGAACCTGGGGTCAGTGGATCCAGCCCCCCGTATGGTCCTGGCATCTGCTGTCATTGCCGAAAGTAACCACACAGGCTGCTTGAGCTGGTCCACAAGGCGGGAACCCCAGGAAACTTCATCCAGAGTTGAACAAGTGTGACAGTGAGGACCCCTGGCAGACTTCCATTCTGACCAGTGACCTAGCCCCATCTGGCTTGTGATGCAGGGGCCGTGTTGCTTTTTGAACCTTAGTCTCCCGATCTGTGAAATGGGTTGCTCACAGGGCTAACCCGGTAGACTCATAACAACAGAATGAAACAATATGTATAAAGCTTTGAAAGGGAAATTATTAAGCAGTTGATTGTTCCTGTTGGCAGGGGTTTTTTTTTTTTTCCCCTCTTTCCTCTCATTCACAATTTCATGAGGATTCTCGAAGGGGATCAGAGAGGCATGGTGTCCTGGACCAAGGGCCTACCCTCACTCACCCAGAGTGAAGGGGGACATCATCCTGTCTTTAGTGTCATTACTTAAACATGCTGGGACGATGAGGGAGGTGTGTGCGCAGGAAGGGGAGTCCATGAGCTGGGTTCAGATAGGATCTGAAGGCGTTTCTGAAACCTGGAATCTGGGCCTCGCTGATTGCACAACTTCTGTTTTGGTACAACTTGAGGGCAGGGCTGCTGGGTGAGCCACAGGCTGGTAACACTGCATGTATTTTCCTGGAGCCCAACCCCCTGGACCTTCTGGCCACACGAAGCATTGGCCCCAAACACACAGTTTTGGTTGGGAGAGAGACATCATAGGACCCGCTCAATGTCAAGAGCCAAGGTCAGCATTCTGCTCCAGGTTGTTCCCGATGTGCAGAATAGGGTGTGATGAAAGCTGAAGGAGAGGGCTCGGGCACAGACAGACCTGAGTGTGTCCCTGGCCTGCCTTGGCAGCCGGCTCCAGCCCCTGGCAGTAGTGGTGGCATCCTGGCTTAGCAGACCAAAGGATGTGGCCCAAAGTGGGTGTTTTAGCACTGGTCCAAAGGCACTTGTAACTTTTTTTTGCTGGAAACCTGCACACCAGAAATGACCGATGTGCCTCGCCAGAGGGGCTGTCCCTCGTGTGTGTCGTGGCCAAGACGCACAGCCAGTTTCCAAGTGTACTCGACCTGGGCAAACGTGTGGCCTGGGGGTCTCATCCCATGAGACAGAAGCAAGGCGCAGAGGGGCTAAGTCACTTTTCTGAGCTTCATCAGCTCCGTGATTGGGCTGCGTCTCAGAAACCTGGTTCTCGGTTTGGTATTTTTCCATTGCTCCTTTGAGAAATTTTTACCCAAGTGAGATGAACCTTTGTATGAAGATTTATTAATTTTTATTAGAAAGGCAGACTTATAGAGAGAAGGAGAGACAGAGAAGATCTTCCATCTGCTAGTTCACTCACCAACTGGACACAACAACCAGAGCTGGGGCTGATTTTGGAGCTTCTTCAGAATCTCTCATGTGGGTTCGGGGGCCCGAGGACTTGAGCCCTCTTCTGCTGCTTTCCCAGGCCAGGTCAAATGTAGGGAGCTGGATCGGAAATAGAGCAGACAGAACGCCAACCAGTGCCCATGTGGGGATGTTGGTACCGCAAGTAGAGGTTTAACCTACTATGCCACAGTACCAGCCCCAGAGATTTTCCTTTTGTAAAAGAACTTAGGATTTTGTAGAAAATGGAATGTTCTTATAGAGCTGGAACCCACTGTCTGACCAAGTTTTATTACCGTGTGCCGTCTGCTGCTCAACAGGGAGACATACGAGTCGACTGAGAGCTTAGGCTGGCACAGGCAGGGTGACCCGCTGCCAGGTTGAGAGCAACCTTTGCATAGAAGACAGAAGTTTCCTCGGGGTTTTTGATTTGGGATGCAGCTTCTTGGTTCTTCAACCTGTGTTTGATTCTGGTCCGGACTCCGCTTCCCTGGGTCATCCCTGCCACCAGGGTGGCCACCTGCTGCTGTTTTGCAAGATCCTGGAGTATGTCCTGCTTCCTAGTGCTTTGGGCATTTTCCCTGTGGGATGCACATTCTGGGTTGATCCATTTCCCAGATGGGCAAAGTGATGCATATGGAGTTTGAGCAACTTGCTGTGGGTCAGATGGCCGAGGGTGTCGGACAAGTCTGCCAGCTTGGAAGAAGTTCGAAGTTTGTGGCTGCTGGAGAAATTA